AAAAAAAAAAAAAAAAAAAAAGAGAAAAAGAGCATTCAGGATGGAGGCACAAACGCAGAGGTAAAGCGGTGCAAGTGTTCGGGGGAAAGGCGAGTGGTCTGTGGCAGGTGAAACCTGGGCCTCATAGCTAAGGCACTTCCATCTCCTCACCTGGCAAGTGCGGACAAGTGTGCCCATCATTCCCCCCATATCATACCTCTTAGGGATGTTATAAAGGTAAAGCAGAGTACATTTTGATTTTGGAAAGAAGAGAATCTAGACTCCGTGTCGTCATTTGTTCACTCATGCACTCATTCATCCCACTCCATTGCATTCACTCACTTGGGCAATAAGGATTTACTGATCTCCTACTATGTTCCAGGTGGGTGTTAGGGATACAGCAGTGAATAAAGCAGATACAGTCCCTACTCTTGGAAGCTTATAATTGGGCGAGCATGACAGGCATTGAACCAGACTTAAAAACGTGATGAGTGATAGGAAGGAGGGATGCCAAGTGCATTGGAAGTACATGGCGGGAGAGCCTAACCTAAGCTAGGGGTCAGAGGAGTCATCCCTAAGGAAGAGATGCTGAAATGGATGGAAGGAGTTAGCCAGGCAAATACAGGGTGGTTATGGCTTTCAGGGTAGGCAAGGCTGTATGTGTGCATAGTCTAAGATGTGGAATAGGAATAGAGTTCACCTGACTGCTGGGGCCACGGTTTAAAAAGCAATATTAGGCAAGTTATCTTTTCTTTCTGGACCTAAATTTGCCATAAGAACTGTGGGGCCAATAATAATTTCTGTCTCTTCTCTACCTTAAAGAAATACAATAGAAAGATGCTAAAAACACATGAGACAGTGTCAGGGCTAGGCAAAAAAAATTAACAAGGGTTTTCCTCGGGTGGAATCCCATCTTGTGAAAAGGTTGGCTAAATCCTACTAATTTCAGGCCCATGAAATCCATGGGCCCATGTGAATCACTCGCTTTTCGAAGTAGAATCACCCCTGAAGGAAAGTGAGTTGGTGTTGACAGCTACAAATGTTTCCTCCCAGACCGTTTCAGTAAACAAGGGCAGACTGAATCACAGACCCACTGGAAAACACTCATCAGGCGGTGGGATGTTTCAGGAGCAGGCACTCCACGTGAAGGGTTTTATGAAGCACCGTAAAGCCCCCACTTATGTTTCCACTTGTGCTTAGGTGGGGATGATCTCAAGTAACCCTCAGACGTGGCCACTCACACACTTAGGTGTTGCGTCATCATTCTTCATGTGGGTGAGAGGTGTGAGGGTCTCTTCCTAAGGAAGCTTTGGTTCCACACCCCATGACCGTGTGTGCATATACCACTCAGCCTTTACTCATCTGCCCCTCTCCTTTTCGTTTCCTCTTTTCCCTCCTATTTCCTTTCTTTTATTTTTTATGTTTTGGCTGCTCACAACCTTCCATTATCCCCTCTTTCCCTCTCCCCGCACCAACTCCAAGTTGTGAAAGCAACCATGGCGCAGAGAGCCTGCAGGGTTAGGTATGGGGAAGGGTGCATGGGAGACATTTGGGAGGGTGAAAGGTTATAGCCTAAAATTGGGAATAATTTCCTTTCTTTTTTTCTCCATATCAAAGTTGACCTAAAAAAAGTCAATGGTATGATAGCAACTTTTAATCTTGTTTTAAATCTCAGATCCCTTTCAGAGATGACATTTATGGATATGTTTTCAGAAAAATGTGCATGTGCTTACATACGACTTTTTGTACACAAGTTCAGGGGGTTCATACTTGCACTTATAGCTCTAAATTTGCTCTCATTTCTTTATATACAGAAGTTTAGGTTCAGGATTCAAGAGGTTACTCTCTTGGGTACTGTGTCTACAATTCAGGTATGTGGCCCCCAGAGGAGCCACATTGTGTGGACAGTCAAGCATTCGTCAGTGTAGCTGGAAGTAAGTCCAACATGCTTCCCAGTGTATCTGGGTAAAAGCAACAGCAAACACAATAACAATACTATTTCTCACCTAATTAAGTAGCAGGGGAGAACACTGCGTTTTAAGGGTCGATATATGAGCAATATTCAAAAGAACAAATTCCTAATTGCCTTTCTCAGTTTTCCTTAACAATGGTGAGTTTCAACCACTCTCATCCTGATACTAGCCCAGGTAGACTGCTTTTTCTTTTTCCCTAATCACTGAACATCTAGCCTACTATTAGCTGGGCCCCTTACTGGACAGTGTTGAGATTTCTGGGTATTTGGGTGTCAAGAATATCTTGGCTAGTGTATCTAATTTTCCAACAGCTCATCTTAACCACGAATCAATCATGGAGAGGTCTCTTCTGTTAACCACATTACTTAAGCAGATGGTTTTATTTTACTCTTCTGTCTTTCTTATCAGTTAGAATAATCTATGCTCTCTCTGAGTCATGGATAAAGCTCCTTCCTTTATCACCACTAGCTTATGGTGAAGTTCAGTTATGTACATGTTAGGCAAATAATGGTTTTCAGCATTCATAAATTGAACAGATACTTATTAAAAGCCTCCTATGTGCCAAGCACTGTTGTAGGTCCTAGGATCAAAACAGTAAAGAAAATGAAGTTCTTCCGCTTGAGAGGTTTGCATTCTAGTGGGAGAGACAAAAATAAAATAAACAAATATACAATATAACATCAGGCAGTGATGAGTGCAATAAGAAGGCAGAGGCTATTTTAGATAGATGGTCAGAGGAAGTCTCTTAGAGGAGATACTTTTTGAGCAGAAATCTAAAATAAAATGAGGGAACGAGCTATCCAGGTATGTAAGGGAGGAGATTTTCCATAGAGAGGAACAGCAAATACAAGAGCTCTGGGTTAGGGCATGCCCTTGGTGGGCTCACGGCGCAGCCAGGTGTGGCCGTAGTGCAGTGAGTGAAGCAGAGAGGGCAGGAAACGGAGGTGGAGCTGCGCGAGGGCCTGGGTGTGCAGGGCCTTTGAAGCCACATCAGTCAAGGGACTACGAATTTTATTCTACAGGTGCTAGAATGCCCTAGAGGTTTAAAAGCAGGAGAGAGACAAAACCAGACATGGTTTTAAAAGATGGCTTTGTCCATTCTACAGATGCAAGAGGACAGTGGCAGTCCCCAGGCCTGTGATGACAATAGTGGAAATAGGGAAGGTGCAAAGGGCTCAGATGCCAGACATATTCTGAAGTCAGAGCCAACCAGATTTGCTGTTAAGCTGAGCAAGGAGTATGTGAGAAAGAAAGAAATCAAGGATGATACCAATGTTTGGGCCTGAGAAAGTGGGTGAATTGTAATGTTTTCAGAAGGTGTTTTGGAATCAAGAGTTCATGTGCTAAATTTCAGATGCCCTTTAGACCTCCACATACTGATCTGTGTAAGCAGTCAGGAGTACAGTGAAGGGTTGGGTGGGAGACATAACTCTGTAACCACCTCTAGAAATATGTCAAACTGTGCAACTGGATAAGAAACTGGATGAATGTGGATGGAGAAGAAAAAAAATCTGAGTAGTGGGGTGCTCCAATATTTAGAGGTCTGGAAGAGCAGAAGTTTCCCTCCAAGGACATTGAGAAGGGGTAGCCAATGGAATAGGAGAAAAAGCAGGAGAGTATGGGTGTTCCAAGGGCCAAATGAAGACAGCGTTTCAAGGAGGGAGTGATAAACTATGTTGAGTGCTCCCAAGAAAGCAAGTAAGAAAAGGACTTTGACTTGGCTTAGTGGAGTAGACAGTGACCTTGACAAAGATGGCTCCAGCGAGTGGTAGGGAAGAGCTCCTGTTTGGAGTGGGTACAAGGAAAAATGGGTAAGGAAATGGGAACAGAAAGTATAAACACACATTAAAGGATTTTGCTATAAAGGAAAACAGAGAAATGGAGAGGCAACCAGGGACGGACCTGGGATGGATTAAAAATCAGGGGACAGATTTTTAATATGAGGGAAATTACACATTCACATGTCGTGTGATGATAGAAACCACCCACAGAAAACGAATAATGCAAAAGGGCAGAGGCATTTGCAAAAACAAAGCCTAGAAGTAGGTGAGTGCTCCGTGAAGGAAGAGACTGGCCTTCAATGGGAGCATAGACCATCCATCCAGGCAGATGGTTTGATTTGGTGGTGGTGATAGATGGAAGTTCTCTTTTTGTTTCTTCTATTTTTTTCAGTGAAACACAAAGCGAGGTCATCAGCTGAGAGAGGAAAAAGAAAAGCAGGTTGTGGGTTTGGGGAGCGGGGAGGTGTTAAACAATCAGCAGCAGGATCCCTTATAGTGGTTTGAAAGGTTTTTGGTTTTTCATGTCTTTTTTTTTTTTTTCTTGTTGGCTCAGCTTTTTTGAAGAAAGAGAAATAAAATAATATCTCACCCTCAACACTATTAACTGTTTCAGGGTGTTTTAGAGGGCTAGGATTCCACAGTTTGAACCCTGGGCTTACCACCTCCCTGACTCCGCATCCCTCAGACTTTTCTGTTTTCCTCATCATCCGAAGTGATGCTTCTGTAACCATGGTCCCCGGGGCGCATGAGCACGGAATCACTTTCAGTTGTTCTCTGTCCTCCATCCTATGTATTCAAGGATGGCGAGAACCCTGACAGAGGGAGTGGCAGATCTGGATTCTGGTCCTGGCTCTGCCACTTGGCAGTTATGTGACTTTAGGGAATGCATTTAACTTCTCTGTGCTTTAGCCGCCTTAACTATAAATTTGAGTTGATGGAAACCTGGTGTTCTTTAGTCTATGCATCTCTATCCTAAGTAATTTTAGGATTTCTCTTGAGATTTTTGAAATACTCAGAATATAGTGGGAACTTTCATGGCAGTCTTTATAAACTACTAAGCACCTGCTCACCCTGGGGATAGCCCAGGAGGAAAAGGGAGAGTCTGAAGTCTGTCATTCCTGATCCACAGACATGATGTGGTCTAGAGATCTCCACAATAAGGGGCTCCCTTCTCCTCCCGCCCACAGGCACAGGTGTGATGAACTGTCCAAAGATTCTCCGCCAGCTGGGAAGGAATGTGTTGCTGCCCTTGACGCATAAAGGGATAAATAAGAGCATGAACAAAAGCATCCACATCGTTGTCACGGTGGCAACATCACCAGAAACCAGCATCAAGACGAAAATAGTGTCTCTTTATCCATCGGAAGGAGGCCCTCCACGTTACCTAAAGGACCGCTACAAGTTTTACCTGGAGGACCTGCACCTGGGGATCCAGGACAGCAGGAAGGAGGACGAGGGATGGTACTTTATGACCCTGGAGGAAAACGATTCAGTTCAGCACTTTTGCCTGCAGCTGAAGCTTTATGGTAATAATGGTGGCTTCTCCTGTGTACACTGGAGGGCCAGGATGGTCCCTTGTCCAAGAATTTAGGCCTCTCTTAAAAGCAGAGCTATTCAGAACTAGAAGCAACTTGAAGATCATCTAATCCAGGGGTATTTAAACTGTGCTTCAGGGAAGAGGTTTTAGAGGTTGGCGATTTCCCCCCTACATTGTGCATTGGTGGGTACTGTTACCCACATTTCCCACAGGCCCAGCTGCCTGTGGACTGAACAGCCTGTAGCCTCAAGAGTCTTGGTCTGCAAGTAAGATTTTATTTGAAAACAAGATTTTTTTTTTTTGTGATTTTTAAAAAGTTTGAATATCATTGATTAAACCCAACCTCTCCCATAGATGAGGATACTGAAATTCAGAAAGAAGTGGTTTGCACATGTTTATACACATTTGTGTGGGTGGTTCACTGCACTGGGGGTTCTGGGTAAAGAAAACTGCAATTCTGCCCACACACCACTCACCAAGCCCTGCGTCCTGGTAGAGGATCATGTTCACCTGGTGGAAAAGTACATTTTTTCTCATTTAAACGAAGGCTCTGGTTATAAAGTTGCTTAGTTGCAATACTTAAACTAGGACCCCGGTGCACGTGAACCCAAGGCCAGTGCTTTTTCAAGCCTCTTTGACTTCCAGCCCCTCTTGAATACACCCAGGGTTTGTGTCTCTTAGGCCCAGACACTCACCTGAATTCCCAGGAATCCTGACAGCCATGTGGGGCTTTCCTGCTTTTTCAGCATCACTTCCTTATATCTGAGATTGGGACAAGGATTCGCACCTACCCAGCATTTCTTTGAAGTCCTCAGCTATCTAGAGGGGAGATAGCAACACCCTCTGTGATCCTCCCCATCCCAGCATTCCCTTGCCTGCAAACAGTGGGTGCAGAATTCCTGCAGCCCTCCACCAGGCACCAGGCAGTCCCGATCACTCCAGCAGGGTCTCTGGGGCAAGATTGCCAGGAGCATGGAGGTTGCACATGATGCATTTTTCAAAACAGGGTAGATGTCCTACATTCAATACTTTTGTTCCTATAAGTTTACTGCCCTTGTCACATCTTGTGATCAACTTCTTACTCTGGAAATGTGGTCTCTGCAACCATAGCATTCTTCTCAAGTCAAAGAAAGAGGCTGGATTTTGGAGTTAGACAGATTTAGGTTCAGATCTCAACTTGACCACTTAGATGCTACGTGACATTTTATAAGACATTCCACTTCTCTGGGACTCAGTTTCCTCATCTATAAAATGGGAATAATTACAACTAGAGTTACAATTGTCAAAAAGATTGAAGAAGATGATGAATGTGAAACTCCATCACTGTGCTTGTCCTATAGTAATTGCTAAATTAACAAGACTTTCCCTTTTATCTTGCCTGTTCTATGGCATTAGGGTGGGATAGACTGATGGGGCCCATAGCTATAATTGAGAACCTACCCCTATCTCAGACACACAGAAGCACTTGCTATACACACACACACACACACACACACACACACACACACACACACATCATACTATAGATGAAATCCCACCACTAAAAAGTCATTCTTTTAGGTCTAGGAGGTAATAACTTAAGCCAATTAAAGTCCATGGGGGTTAGTTGACAGCAAACTTCACTGAGAACAACAACCTAGATCAAGAACAGCAGAAACAGCAAGTGGAGCCCTAACAGTATTGGTAGAAGGGGACTGAAACAAAAATTCTTCTTCTCTATTTCATCCTGAGGTGGTCTTAGAAAGGGTTTAGTGGGGAGTGAGGGATGGTGTGAAACAATGGCTCCCCACTAGAAATAAATCACATCGAAACTCCCTGGCGGGGGTGGGGGAGGAAGCCATTAGGCTGTACTTTGTTCTAACAAAAAGGTCAAGTGAGGATTCCCAAGGGGTTCATTTCAGTGATGGCTGCCTTCCTCCCCCTCCTGACAGAGCAGGTCTCCACTCCAGAAATTAAAGTGTTAAACCAGACCCAAGAGAATGGGACCTGCACCTTGATGCTGGCCTGCATGGTGGAGAAAGGAGACGACGTGGCTTACAGCTGGAGCAAGGAGGTGGACACTCACCCTCTGAGCCCAGCCAACAGCTCCCACCTCCTGTCCATTACCCTCGGCCCCCAGCATGCCAACAACACCTACATCTGCACTGCGAGCAACCCCATCAGCAACAGCTCCGAGGCCATCATCCCATGGTCCAGATGCAGCCTAGGACCCGTGGGTGAGTACGCTAGTGGTGGCTAGGGGGCCACTCAGTGAATATAGGCTCAGCTTCCACCTGAGCCAACTGCTCTGCTTCCCCAGCCATGCCATTCACCTTAGTGATGACACTTTACATTTTCTTTATGGTCTGCAAAAGCCACCTGTGTGTGCTCAGTGAGTGCACTCTTACATTGTTATGCTCGGTTCACAGTTGAGGAAATCAATGGGAAATGAAGGAGCCAGACCCAGAAGCCAGGTCTCCAAGGCATGATCCTTCCTCCCTGCCTCCTGCCTTGGCTCCAGCCTACAAGGGTGGCTGAGTGAGGAGTGCAGGTGGCAGGTTCTGACTCTCACATCCATGTTCCACTAAGGGTAGGACGGTTCTACACCACCAATAGTATTTATTGATCACCTACCCTGTAGGAAATTCGGAATGAATATGACATGTGATATTTGAGATAAGATATGAAACATTTTCTCAATCATGAAACACAGGATATAATGAAGAGCCTCATTTTATGGAACAGACTGAGAATCCCACAGCAGGTCAGAGGGCCAGGGGAGTCAGAAAGAGGTGAAACTAAGACCTGGACTCAGTAGCTTGAGGAGTAATGATAAATTGGATAGCACTTGACTATCGGCAAAGCACTTACAACTGTACAATCTCTTGATCCTCACAATAACCTTGCCGGACAGATGTTATTATCACCATCATGATGCAGATGAGGAAATTGAAGTTCATAGCTTTTAAGTACCCTCCTCGAGTCTCTTTAACTTGTAAATATTGGAGTTAGCACCTAAACCTAGATCTTCTGACTGCTCTTTCTCTAGAAAGAAAAGCATCATTATTCTGTTACCAAAAAGAAGAGAGAATTGATAAAGTACACACATCTAATCACTTGGATACTGGATTGAACACTGGCCCACTGCCCCTTTTCACCAACAGATCTTGTGCCCCTGACTCAGATAGGTTCGGGGACAGAAAGACCAGGGTGCTGGCCCTGCAAGGTATTGCTTATGCCTTGACCTTCTACTGTCTGCATCCACTGAGGGGAAGCAGGAGTCATTCCAGAGAGACTCCTTCCCACAGTAGCCGTGGTGTTCACGCGGAGGGCTTTCCCACCTGACCATGGATGAGGTGACAGGGGAATCCAGCCAAGTTATGCCCTTCCACATAGCACCTCCTGTCACAGAGACTCTGCTGGAGTATTCCCAGATGGACTGCTGGAAAAATCCCACCTGGCCTTCAGGCTGTACCTGGGAGTTCTCTGGTGAACCTAACACACTGCATATTGCGTCTCCCAGCCATTTCGCAGCGAGAGTCACCCACCTGTCCACTCACTGGGTCTGTCGGGTTGCTCGCCCACATTGCCCAGTATCTCTTTGTGAGTCCAAATTTCCTCTTCTTAAAAGGATATCAGTGAGATTAGATTAGGGCCCACACAATGTCCTCATTTCAACTTAATCATCTCTTTAAAGATCCTATCTCCAAATACAGTCACATTCTGAGATAATGGGGGTTAGGCCTTCAACATATGAATTTCACGGTGAGACAATCCAGCCCATAACATCACCCTAGTGACCTCATTTGAACTTGATTGCCTCTGTTAAGAATTTATCTCCAAATAAGGTCACATTCTAAGCACATCAATATATAAATCTGGGGGAACACTATTCAACCTGTAACACAAGTAGAGATTCTCTCCCATATACCCCGCGCCGTCCCCAGGGATGGGGGACCACACTGTCTCAGAACCAGATCACATAGCTGATTTGCAGCATGCCCTCCCCAGTACACCAGGTTGCCTAAACACTGAAAACAGAGTTTTATTAGTCCATTGATTTAGTTGTGCAAATGAATACTACTAATTCTTAAAACACTGCGCTTAGTGTGACAAAAGATTTGCTGAAGCCCTGCTATATCCCAACACTGTGCTAGGTGCTGAGTACACAAAGATAAAAAAGACACAATTCTTGTCCTTAAGGAAGAAGACAGTTCCACAAGTAAATAATTATCCTAGATTACATAGTGTGACAGGTGCAAAACAGATGTAGGTGCAAGGTAACAAAGAAGAAGGAATGATTAACGCTGTCTCAGGCGATCAGAGAGAGCATCACAGAGCATGTGACATAGCTGGGATTTAAAAATAAATGAAAATTACCCAAGCTGATGAAAGACATTCCAGGCAGAGGGAAAAACAGACACAGCTGGGTCTTGTTCTATATTCTCCTACAAGTGATGGGAACTAATAAAGAGTTTTAAGTAGAGAAGGGACACCATCAGTTCTGCCTTTCAAAGAGGAAATTCAATGGCATAGAGAAAAGACTGGGGCAGGGAAGAGGCAGAAGAAAGAGAAACTAGTTACATGGGGCATTATTGCAGTAATCCATCAAGAGATGATGAGGTCTGAGCCAAAGCAGGAATTGTGAGTTAACATAGACTTTTTTTACACACACACAAAGGGAAATCCCAGCCCTGGGATGAAATGGTGAGGTTTGAGGGTTTATTAGAGGTCACTTCACCATCTATTACCAGGACGGTGATTTTAAGGTGTTTTTCATTTTCATTAATGAAAAACTCTAAGCGGCTAATGATGTGATGAGACCAAATGCAATGTGATGTCAGCACTATCTCCTGATAGGACTCAAATGAAACAACCCGTGCAAAAACATATTTGTTCCTCGAAATCATTTTCTGTAAGTGACATTTGTCCAGGCTCTTGGTCACATATTCATCCTTGTTCCAATTGCCGTTTCAGTGTTTTATAGTAAGAAACACTTTCATGTCCATTGTAATGAGGCATCTTTATTGCAAAGTCCCGATCCCGGGGTGCTACAAAGTACTCTGGCTAGGTCACGTGAAGCATGCTGATGTGGGTCAACCCTGGACAGTGTGGGACTTGCTGCTGTCCTTGCTGACTGTATTCTGAAATAGCTATGTCTATGCCAGAATGATTAATACATAACCTTAAATAATTCAACTACAAGGGAATGCCCCTGGATGCTCATCTTGAAAAGAAGATCTTTTTGAAAAGATTAGCAAAAAGCTGGCTCAGCACGTCTGAATTAGTTCAGTGGAAGAAAAAGCTGACACCTGCCCGTGAGCTCTGGAGGCCCCCCCCTTTCTAACAAGGCCATTTCCTCAAGCAGGGAGCTCCCACTGTTACAGAGCCACCTAGATGCTCCCGCAGAGGCAGGTCCCTCTCCGTGGTCTCTCCAATCCAGCCAGCCTAACAACAGTGGTAGAAGCATGAACCCTGGGCATGTCTCACGGGCCAGAGCCTTGTCACATGCCCACACCTGCTACAAGGGAAGGTGAGAGATGTAGTCCTCAGCTGGGCAGCTGTGTGCCTGGACAAGGCTTGTGTTACCATGGAAGCGTGGGAGAAACAGTACTGGGTGCACAACTAGTAGCCTCCACAATGCAATGCAGAGTGGGACAGGCAGGGGAGAGGAATTTTTCAGGAAACTGTGAGCTCTGTAAAAATGTTTACTTGGATGGTTGCAGACCCTAGGTTAGTATATGGTTCCTGAGCATCCTCTCCCCACCCCCAACTGAGTGAAAACTGCCACCAACAAGAAAGTATCTCTTGAAGATGGTTGTCTTCTTCAAGGAGACGTGCACCACACCGGCAGCCTTGCTGAGGGAACCACATGAAAGGCAGGAAAGAGATCCGGCACTCTCAGACCGTTACGTTAACAACTCAATAGCTCCTGGGTGAGCTACATTTGTTTCTCAGATTCTTTGTTGTTTTCTTCTTTATCTTCCCTAAAAAAAAATAAAATAAAATAAGATTTGAGGACTAGAGGAGGGAGAGATGCTTTTGTGTTTCTGTGGCAACAGCCTTTCAGAGGCAACAAAGGCCCTTTTCCTTTTTCCTTGGAGGCATGTGACATGCCAAGTTACTACGTTTAAACCACAGCCAGTAGAGGGGAGAACCACCGAGCGGAGACTCGTGCAAAGTACTCTTCCTAAATAGCATGGGAGCTCTCAACCAGCCCGCTCAGCTATTTCTTTTCTTTTTTTTTTTTTTGAGACAGAGTCTCACTGTGTTGCCTGGGCTAGAGTGCCATGGCGTCATCCTAGCTCACAGCGACCTCAAACTCCTGGGCTCAAGCGATCCTCCTGCCTCAGCCTCCCGAGTAGCTGGGACTACAGGCATGTGCCACCATGCCCGGCTAATTTTTTCTATATATTTTTAGTTGTCCGATTAATTTCTTTCTATTTTTAGTAGAGATGGGGTCTCGCTCTTGCTCAGGCTGGTTTCGAACTCCTGAGCTCAAACAATCCGCCCGCCTCGGCTTCCCAGAGAGCTAGGATTACAGGCGTGAGCCACCGCGCCCGGCCTCGCTCAGCTATTTCTAAGAGGCTCTAGGGGGGAAAAGTCCCAAATGTCTGGTTCAAGAGTGTTCAAGTAGCGTTTCTTTGTGAATGAAGGAGAAAGGGGCTGTGGGCCGCAGAACACTCTTTGCCTGATTTCCAAGCATCAGCATCCCAAAAGGCCTCACTACATGACTGAGAAAAAAGAGGGAGCGCTGGAGTTTCTGCCACAGGAAATGGTGGTTTGAAATGGGAGCACAGGTGATGTGTTGACAGCACAGACACACACTCACCTCCTGGCTCCATTTTGTTGTTATAAAGCATAAGCCAAGTAGGTCACTGCTGCGTCCCTTGACTCCTGCCTCGAGCCATTCAGAAGGTGACCCTTCATTCCTTCTGAGAACTTCTTATATTTAGCACTCTGTTAATTTTTAACAAAAGGGTACCTGACAGTCTTCTCCCAGATCCATTCTTATGGACTTCGATTTAATCTAATTTAGTTCATCAAGTGCATATTGAATGTCCTCCTGCCTATATTGTATCAGGTGGAGTGGGGGATACAAAAGAAAGAATAAGGGACAGGGCCTACCTTCATGAAATTTACAATCTAGGTGGGATTCTACACCTTACTAGATGGGAAAATATCATATTAAAGAAACTGCTTCTAGAATTCCTCTTTGGAAGGGAACAGTATTTGTTTAGGATATTTAGTACCTTAATAAATGCTAGAAGCCAGAAGGGTGAGAGCCCCAAAGGATCTGGGTGATCTGCATGGGAAAGGGGAAAGATATTGCTTGTGCAGAACTAGGAAGAGAAAGAGAGGGTCTGAGCCTGTCGGTATTACAAGCTGCCTGGTTTACAATGGAATCTGTGCCCTGTGACCCTTCAATCTTAAGTAGAGGATTTAAACCCACAAAATTCTTGGCGTAGGGTATTTTTGTCTTTGTTTCTTTATTTTTGTTTGTTTGTGGAAACTAATGGAGGAACTGAACCTTGCACCCAAGACAGCACAGGGTAGAGAAAGTGGAACTACAGGAACAAAGACTTAGAGGACCATGAGGAAATTCTTCCCAGAAATTATAGAAATCATGGGCAGCCTGATCCAAAAATGCTTTAACAGTAGCATTTTGTCCATATTTATCTAAATTCCTAAGGGCATAGAGGGTCTCTGGTGCTTAGTTTTCATGTAAATACTGTAATTAGAGAATAGCAACAAATGGATGAGCACCAAGTGTAAAAATACTTGGGCCTGCTATACAGATAGGGAGACTAAATTATAAACAAAGGACTGCATGGGGCTGAAGCATCTCTCGGTATCAGTGGAGAAATTCCTTTGGACTTGAGATCAAACCTATCTTCTTGTCCTTCCAATCAACCAACAAGAATTTGTTGAGGACCTATTATTATGTATCAAGTGGAAAGAGAGTTGCAGAAGAAGTATAAGAGATGGTCTTTGGCTTCCTAGAACCCAATACCTATTTGGGGAATTGAGGCTAGTGGAAGTAGTTGACATTTATTGACCACACGAGGATTCTAGGCATTGCTCTGGGCATTTTCCATATATTACTGTATTGGTTCCTTGGAACCACTCTGTGAACTTATTGCTATGATCATTTTACAGATGAAGAAACTGAAGCCACAGAGTGCACAAGTAGCCTATCTGAGGTCACAGGGCCAGGATCAAGTGGTAGACCCAGAATTTGAAACCATCTTTCTAGCACCAAGTATCATCACTGAAAATGGTCTCCATGGCAAAGATAATGCTGCCAAAACTCAGGTTCTAAGACACATGACATAAACCACAGGTGCTGCAGGAGTCCCAAGGAGAGGGAAGAATAAGAACTGAAGTTGTCAGGAAAGGTGACAGGGAGGAAGTAAGATTGGCCCGGATGTCAAGGCTGGGAGGTGTGGTGGACAGCTGAACATGCAGGGGGAAGGAGAGAATGGGGTGGAGCCTGGGGCCGGGAATGGGCACGTGTTGGGTGGAGGGTGGGGAAGGATGGGTTGTCTGCTCAGAGGGCTTTTGACTCAAGAAGTCCCCTGGGCATCACAGCCTGCCACTGCCTTCCTGATGGAGGCCCTGTCTCCAGAGGCTAAAACACAAACTGCAAAAGCTACAGTTCTCATTTCAACCAGCTTTGCCTCCAACTTTTTCTATGACTCCAGGTACACCTGTCTGAGTCTCAGTTTCCTCAACATGAAATTAATTGGTTGGGTGAAATAAGCACAGTACTATACTTCCTTTAAGGTTAAAAAAAAGTCTATGGTTCATATTTGTATCCAAAAACGAGGAGAAAAATTAGAGTCTATGGAATATCTTTCAGCGTTATGGTCAAGTTGTCTCTCAGATCTAGCTGGGCTGGAGAAGCTGGTCATTTATGTCATAGGACAAAGGTCACAGATTGCCTTCATCCTCCTGAGGCCCTAGAAAAGACAGACAGGGCTGGTGTTACCACATCCTCAGAGCCTCAGTGATGCACCCCAGTCATTGTTATTAATAGTTCATGTGGGTCGGTGGGCAGCAGAGCTGTCAGCATCAGGCACGACGGAAGAGGAGAACGCCAGTAACTTGGCAGGCATTACTGATGCAACTTTGTCATCTGTTATTTTCCATTTTTAGAGGCATTACCTTGTTTGTTGGCTTCATTTTTTTTCAAATCTCAAATAAAATTTGGGAGAAATATTGTCTTTTAAAAGTATACAAATGGTTGAGTGTTTGTTCTCAAATCATCTATTGTTTTAGATGTTCCCATAATACCTATAATAGAATAAAGAGGAAATAGTTTTAAAATAATAAGTGCTACTGTGACAGTTTGCTGCATCAATTCCATAGGCTGATGAGGCACAAAGATTTGGCTGCTGGCTCTGTTTCAGGGAGTTTCTCCATGAGTCCCTGGTGTTGCAGCATCTCAGAGATCATGAGCCATTTAGAGTGGTCATTCAGAGTGGAGCTGCTCACAGGGTACCTCCAGCCTTAGCAGTGATTCCAAATTTCATGCTTTATACACATTAAGGAGTCTTGTTAGAACTCTTTGCTTGCCCCTAACTTTTCGGTCAAATCATATGACCGCTGAAGTTGGTATCTGGAAGAGTTAAAACATGTTTAATTTGGGGAGGAGAATCTATAATCAAGGCATTCACAAAGTTAGTTCAGTAAGATTCCTGAAGATGACTTGATATGTGAAAGGCCCAGGAAGAAAAAGAGATAATTTTTTCAAATCCAGAAGGCAACTTCTGGTTAGGTATCATGTTGGAGGCCCACTTGGATCTTGGTGGGATGTCTTTTATGAATTCATTGAGACTTCAGTCCGTATCTTTGGTCAACTCTGTAAACATCTGAATTGTGTCTGTGATCACTCTGTTCCTTTGTAACCCATGTCTTCCTTCCTTTCAATTTCCTCCCAATAAATCCATCCATGTTCAACAACAAGCAGGCTTATTCCACAATCATCCTTATAAGTTACCCTAACACATTAACGTTAACACCTGGTGTTACACCCTTTAGAAACTTAGCGCCATTGCTTTATTTAGAATCCTAGTTCTTTAGATTGGTCCCCACTGTTCATTACCCTGGTGCAACTTTGCCCAAGCCCAGAGATCTCTGAAACTCTCCAAGAAGTCTGTCTTAAGTATTCAGCCACATTTCTACTCCTAGACCAAGCGCTAGTTTGTGAGGGTCTTCATGCCTACTTCCTTATCCATAAAATTGTAATAATGAGTGTACCTGCCTTGTAGGATTGTTGTGAGGATTCAATACATTAGTACACATGTTGCACTAAAAAATATTTGGCCCATTGTAAGTGCTCAATAATTGTCCATTATTACCTTATTGAGCTAAATGTCTTGTTTACTGAGGCAATAGGTCTCATTCACTGTTTTCCGAAGTGTTGCTCCTGGTCCCAAAAAATTTGATACAGAGAGAAAAGGAGAGAAAGCAATACAAGTTGTCTGTCTGATTTTGAGTCTGGGTGATTGGTACTGTAGGACTAATTTTAAGCACAAGAATGATCGAGAGGAAAAACTAAATGCTTTCCTTTCAGTTCAGGTCTGGTGGGTTCAGCACAGTTATTTGCATGGAAGAGCAATAATAGCACTATTGTGTTTATTTTTAAAAAAGAAAAGCAGCTCTTTCTTCCTCTCAGTGTCCCATGAGAATAGCGTGGATGTGCAGGGACGACACGAGGAGCCATCATGTTCTGTTTACCCAAAATGGATACAGGACGCATTAGAAATTCCAAAATAGAGAAACTGGGCAGAGAGAGTGACTTAGGAGAGATGAAGATAAGTTTAATCTTAGACATGTGGTAGTTGAGGTAAAAATAAAGCATTTGGATAGAAAAATCTTTGTGGAAATTAAGCGGATATGGAAATCTTCAGTGGTCTAAAGCGGATCTCTAAAACGGTGAAAACAAATCTCCCTTGGGAAATAATGTAGAAATAGAACTTGAGGCTTGGTTGTTCTATTTCTGTGCGGGATGTTTTTAAACTGACAGAACTTTTGAGATTGTCCTTTGACCTTGTTTTTTTCAGAACCAAGCCCCCAGTGGGGACTGTATACTGGGCTGTTCTTAGGGGGTGTCATTGGTGTCGTCATGATTCTCGAAGTGGTAATACTACTGTTGAAAAGAAGAGGTAGGTGTCTGACAATAAGGAGATTCTCCTTGGGTTCTCTGTGGTAAGCAGGCACCTCTCCCTACGAGCACAGACTTGTTCTCAATACTTTGGCTTTCTGCATGGGGCCACCTTTGCAAAAAACACTAAATAAACACATCCTGGGACCTTGCTCAATTCAGTCTAACTCAACATATCTTGATCCTCTCTACTAGGCTTTGGGAATAGAGAGAAGGGCCACAGGTGTCTAATGTGGGAGACGTTATTCAGATAAGTTTAATTCAGTGTGACTAGCACTGCAGTAGAGGTATACACATGATGCCCGTGGGGTCCAGACAAGAGGCTTAACAGGAGCTGAATTCACAGGGAGCTGAATTCAGAGAATTTTTGGATCTCATTCAAAAAATCAATCAGGGAAGAATGAAACCAATAAGGTCCCATTATTCCCCTGCAGTTTTGGCCTCTCCAAATGGTCCTACGATTCAATGTCTCAGGGCAACGTGCTCCCCTCAGTCACACTGACTACCAACCCCCGCTGCAGTCAGAATAAGACCAGGACAGGTGCTCCAGAAAGCCTTCTCATGGTGAGGACAGAACCTGATCCTCATGCCACCAAGCTCATGACTGATCTCACCCTCAAGTAGGTCAGTGTCATCCACACACAACCTTCTTAGAAAAGCCCTTACCTCAGCCCTCTGGGGTTGGTTTTGCTTATATAAAAAAACATCCAGATCATAGCACAGCTGCCTACTTTTGTCTCATTTCCTCCATCTAAGAGTTAGCTGGGTAATTCAGATAGAAATCATGTTGAGGGCCCAAGGGGTGGGGGTGGGGCAATCAGACTTGGCTTATGCTATAAAGAAATGGTGAGATGCCAGGGATGAGAAAACTGAGCTCAACTTATTCACATCAACCCATCCAGCAAAGGTGCTGGGATCCCACCCCATGCTCTTGCCTCAACTACACTCGGCTGGTCACATGGTTGTGCTCTGAAGGGAATGGTGATCCTATCCCACCACAATTCCCTACCGCCTTCCCCTACCCACATACCCATCCTCATCTCCAGTCACCATTTGTTCATTGTAAGCCAGTAACACACAAAACTCTGCCTCAAACCTGTGCTAAAATTTATATTTAGTTGTTATACTCTCCCCAAAACTTTGCTCGAGAGACTGTTGTCAGCTTCTAATGGTATCATCTCCAGAATGCAGCCTGACTCTGAAAGTTTTTAAATTGACTCTATGGGAATTTCATGTCCAAGAGAATACACTGGTTAAGAACATGGACTTTGGCATTAGAGAAACTTACAATCAAATGCAGACTTTGTCACTGACAAGCTATGTGACCAAACAAATGACTTAACCTTTCATCTGCAAAATGGGGATAAATTACATAGTCCACAGTACTCTTGTGGGGTCAATTCACGGAAAGCACTGAACGCAGTGGCTTCCAGAGAGGGATGGAAGATAGAGACACACATACATGCATACATATGTACATATATACAGGCATAGACAAATCTCTCAATGTAGATGAATTAAAGCACCAATGTTTAAGTCATAAGGCCCGTAGAGGGCTGCACTGGACTACATCTGGAAACCGTACCTAGAGTAGGTTTAAGGTACTTGAAGTTATGGTAATATAAGATAACTTTGCTTCAAGTAAGAGCTGAAAAGGACATTAAATAGCCTACACCCTCACTTTACAGTTATGGTAAGAGAAGAGACCCACTGAAATGACATGATTTGTCCAATGCCACACAGCTTGTGATGACTAGAATGCAGATGCCCTAATTCTAAGGCCAAGACCTTTTTCATTAGACCCTAAGACTTTGCAGATTTTGAGCTGAATTAAACTTACTCCTGAAAACCTGTTTTTACACTGGGGAAAAAACATGAGACTAAATTATCTTGATGCAATAAATTCATCCTCTTTTTGAGCGGTAACAATCAGCCCCACTTTTTCCATTCATCTGACCATTTAGGACTGTCCCCCCATTTCTAAATTTCAGGCTGGGCTGACCTGCAAGATTGAAAATCCTAAAGCAGTGGTCCCCAACATTTTTAGTACCAGAGACTCGTTTCATGGAAGACAATTTTTCCATGGATCGGAGTGGAGGGGACGAGAGGGGATGGCGAGTGATGGGAAGAGGCTGTAAATACAGAGGAAGCTTCGCTCACTCACCTGCCTCTCACCTCCTGCTTTGCGGCCCAATTCCTAATAAGAGGTTGGGGACTGCAGTCCTAGAGGACTGGAATCTGTTCTCTACTCTGGTTGTATATAGCACCTAGAAGAGTGCTGGGCAGGCATGTCTAACTTTGCAAACACTCGTGGGTTTGAACAGAAAGGGTATATTTCACAGAACTACATTGCACTCCCTCTGCTACCTCCAACTGCTTCTCATCATCCCTGAGTCCACCCCTCCATTTTACACACACACACACACACACACACACACACACACACACACACACACGCTCCTCAGTCAGGATCAACCCTGACCAAACAAGTGAAGTTGGAACCACCAGTCACACCACGCCCACACTCACACAAGAAAATCAAGTTGACTTTCCTTGAATCCTTTGAACTGCTTCCGTGGCTTTCCATCATTTTCTCCCCAAGGTTCACACCCTTGTGCAGCACATTCCACCATGCTCACCACACACATACTAGCAAAAATGTGCCGCTCCTAAGTGCTATTTCCTCAGAGATGTGCTCCCAATTTTTTAAGAGGATGAATTTATAGGTGTTAAAATAAGTCTACCCTAAAGACTGTAACTTCCTGTGGGGAAAGCCACCATTGTCTCTACTGGACTCTGCAACAACCCCTTAATAGGGCTCATGCTTCAGTTTGTCACCTTCCCAGCATCCTCTCTGCTACGTGATGTACACAAAGGATACCATGCAATGTTAGAAAGAACAAGATAGATCTCCTGCACTGGCATGGAAAATGTCCTCAACTCATTTTATGTGGAAAGATCAAATTATAGAGAAATATGTATAGCATGACCCCATTTGTGTAAAAAAAAAAAAAAAATCTATGTAAGTATAGTAAATGTCCAGAACTGCACTATTCTATATATTAATAGTAGTCACTAGCACATGTGGCTTTTTAAATTTAAATTAATTTGAATTAAATGAAATTTAAAATTCATTTCCTCAGTTGCATTAGTCACAGTTCAAGCACTCAATAGCCACCTGTGGCTGTGGCTGTATTAGACAGTGCAGATATGGAACATTTCATCCTCTCAGAAAGTTCTTTTGCACAGAACTGATCTACAAGGATATATATCAAACTTTTGAAGTGGTTACTTTTGGAAATAAAATTGAGTTGGTTAATGGAGGAAGCGGACTTACACTTTTTACTTTATGCATTTCTACACAATTTTAATTTTTATAATGAGAATAAACTACTATAATTTAAAAATTTTTTAAACTGGCTAAAAATTAAAATGTTCTGCAATTTATTCATTTCCAGAGATCCTAGGCCCTTAGCAAAATTTCCAGATGGTGAGCAACAGAATGACATTGTTGCTTTGTTTTCCAAATAGTCCCAGGTGGATCATCTCTCCTACACTCCCTTACCCCATTCCACACACATACGAAGTCCCCCAGAAATAGGGAGACGAGAAAGCTGTGAGTGAAGCAACATACTAGCAGTGGAAGAATACAAAAGAGATATAAATAACTAGCCCTGCCTTCGAAGAACGTAGAATCCTATTAGGAAACCAGACATGCATATCAAGCAGAGAGATTAAAATAACTGAATGGCACACCAATGAGAGAAACACCTGAAACACCGGGCATTTGCTATGTGCCAGGAGCTATTCTAAACACTTTACAAGTGATATCTTATTTAATTGTCACTACAGCCCTGTGAGGCAAGTATTTCAAATCCCATTTCACGGACAGGGAAATAGGCCTAGGGAAATCCAGTAACTAACCCCAGACCATATGACAAACGTGCAGGGGGGTTGGGACTCGGTGCTTTGTTTCTACGGTACTCTTGGGGAAGGTGGGTATGAAAAGGAGAGTAAAGACCAGACAGGTCTGAGTAGGGAGTTCATGTTGGGCACCAGAGCGAGATAACTACTATGGTTTCTTTTCCCCAGGTAAAACGGACCATTACCAGCCAACAAAGGAAGCAAAAAGCCTTACTATCTATGCCCAAGTCCAGAAACCGGGTGTAAGTTTTATACTTTCTTTGAGATGAACCTGTCGTATTTCCCATAGGATTCTTGGCCAGTCCACCTGGCATGTCTGACATTCATGGGTTCTAGAGAAGAGCAAAGTAGGGAAGCAGAAATCAAGGACAAGAGCTCTCTTGATGGTCATGAAACTTCAGTGTCATATGGGACTGTTTATTATTTGAAACAATGGGAAACACTGTGTAATCTACTGGTGATCTGTTTCTTCACAGCAAAAAATAATGAGGAAGCTGGAAACACGTGAGTTATAACTCCTTCCAGCTGTGGCATTCTAGGACTTGATGGTCCCGTGTGACCAAGCTCTTTTCTTTTCCAAAGAAAAGGGTTCAGGCTTGAGGAGAGAGGGGAAGGTCTGAAAAAGCTATTGTGTGACATGTTGGACTGATCCAAGTTTAGGCATTTGCATAGCACAAAGGGGACAAGGAAGGAAGGATCTTGAGAATTCTGGCTACAGTGTGGTTGAAGAGATGGAAGATGATATGCAGACTGCAGATGGAAGAAAGTGAGACAGTGATACAGTGATTGTTGGACTAAGAAGAGGAGTGGCAAAACTGGAGGCATGGTGAAATTGAGGAGCAGACAGAAGGAAGAGATAGGGAGGCTAAAAGGATTGTAGTTAGCTGTGGAGATTTTGTATTTTTTCAGACATGAAGGCAATTCTAGATGATTTATAGGCCACAATCTGGCCATTGGCCATTTAGGGGATGAGGGAAGGCAAATTCTGGAGTAAAGGATGTGAAGGTAAAGACAGCTTTGATTAATACCTTAGAAAATTGCATTGAGTGACTGTAAATGCATTTCTGAGAGCCAGGAGATGGACTTTTGGACAAAGCTCTTATTTCTTCTGTCCCCTAGTGGCCTGGAGGGTTTATTACACAGCCCATCCTCATCCCCTCTCCCAACCGAACTCCATTTAAATAGATAGAATCTCAAGAGTAACCCGCCCCCACCATCTAGGTAACCCGCTTCATCTTTACCATGTTGTCTTCCCTAATTACTTCATTCCATGCTGCTAGCATCCCTCTTTTTTTCCCTTACTGCGAAGCATGACATACATACAAAAAAAGTGCACAACACATAAATGTCAGCTCGATGAATTACTCTTAAGTGCACATCTTGATATCTGGTAAAGCAAGTCTTCCCATCTTATTTTTCTTTGAGAGTTTTTAGCTATTCTTATCCCCTTGTACTTTCATATGTATTTTAGAATCAACTTCTCAAGTACTACCAAAAAATCCTATTAGGATTATGTTGAATCTATAGATCTATTTGAGGAGAAATTACATCTTTCGGTATTAAGTCTTCTAATACCATAAAACTACCACACAGATGAAGGAACAGAATGTGACCAGTACCTCCTGAAGACCTCCTATGCCATTTCTCAATCACTGATTCCTCTCTCCTTCCCAAAGATAACCATTGTCCTGACTTGTAGAAATAGAGTTTAATTTGTCCCTTTTTTTGAACTTTATAAAAAGGGAATCCTTTATTATTTTTCGTATTGTGTCTTTTGCTCAATTTTACCTTTATGAGGTTCATATATGTCTTTGAACTTAGATAAAATGTATTCATTTTCATTGCTTTATAGAATATCAGTCAGTTTATTTATCCAGTTGACTATTGATGGACATGTGGGTTATTTCTACTTTGAAGCTATTATGAAAATTGCAGCTGTGAACATTCATATGCATGTTTTTTGGTGGATGTGTTCACATATTTTTGTCGGGCATATACCTAGAAGTAGAATTGCTGAATCATAGAGTATGTATATTCTAAAATTGACTAGATAAGGCCAAACTATTTTTCAAAGTGGGCATATCAATTTACTTTACCATCAGCTACATATAAGAGTTTCAACTGCTATACATTCTAACCAAAACTTAGTATTGTCGGACTTTTTAATTTTAGCCTTGCCAATGGATATGTCTTGTTATGGTTTTATTTTGCATCCCTCTAATTATTGAGGAAGTTGAACAACTTTTTAAATGTTTATTGGCCATATTAAAATCCTCTTTCTTTAAGTACCTGTTAAATCTCTTGCACATTAATGTTTGAATTTTAGGCTTTTTAATGAATTAGTTATGGATTAGTATAAGCTTTTTACATAGTTTGGGTATGAGCCTTTTGACAGTTGTATGTTAGCAAATAATTTCACCCATCTGTGGTTTGCCTTTGCAATTTCTCAGAGGTACCTATTGATAAAGAGTCATCCTTGATTTCAGTGTAGAATAATTTAGTAATCTTTTCCTTTAGAGTTAGCATTTTTTGTATCCTGTCTGATAAATCTTTCTCTATTCCCAGGTAATGAAAAGCTATTTTTCTTTCACATTTATATCTATTTTTATACCTGGAAACGATTTTTGGAGTAGGGTTTGAGAGGGATGAAGTTTTTTATTTTTTCCACATGGATATCCTATTGACCATTTATTGAAAAGATTGTCCTTGCCCCACTGCAGTGTCATTTTTACCATAAATCAAGGGTCCATATACGTGGGGTCTGTTTTGATGTTTCCTATTCTGCTCCATTGATCCATTTGTTAATACCTGCAACAGTGTCATGCAGTTTTAATTACAGATTTATTATTAACATAAATTTTGATATCTGGTAAAAGGACTCTTCCCACCTGTTCTTTTTTTCTTTTTAAGAGTCCTTAGCTATTTTGGTCCTTTGCATTTTCGTATGTACTTTAGAATCAGTTTATCAAGTCCCTCCCTCACCCACACCCCAAATCTTGTTAGCATTTTAATTAGAACTGCATAGATCAATTGGAGAACATGTCTCTTTATAGGATTGAGTCTTTCAATTCACAAAAAAAAGATACATATCTTACTTTATTTAGGTCAGATGATACAATTGTATATAAGGAAAATATGTTTTATTTCTTCACATACTTTCTCTTGCCCTATTTTTCTGCTTGAGATGACCTATATGACGGTGAATGGAAATGGTAATAGTGGCGTCCTTGTATCGTTCCAAACTCTAAAGGAAAGCTTTCAATGTCTCACCATTAAGTATGACGTTTGCTGAAGGTTTTTTGAAGTGGCCTTTTTACCACATTAAGAATGTTATCTTCTATTCCTGGTTTACTAAGATATTTTATCATGAGTTGATATTGAATCTTATCAACACTCTGCATCTGTTGAGATAATCTCATGGTTGTTGTTTTCCTCATTTATCTGCTGCTATGGTGAACTACGCTGATTTGCAAAAAGTTAAAGGAAATCTCCATTCCTAGAATAGAAATGATTTATTTATTTAT